CGAGATCAGACCGGTTATCAGTTATCAGATATCAGTTTCAGTTCAGATATATGCTTTATTCATGATCATGTTATTATTTACGATGTTGTACATTAGCATGATTTTCTGCGGAGCACAGTGCCTTAGTGCTCACGCCCCACACCCTTCATGTTTTTCAGGTCGCAGGGTCGGAGACGAGGAGTGAGCGGACGAGCTGTTCAGGACATTTATGTTTATTGTACTTATGATTTGCCACGCTAGACTTCCGCTAAAACCTTTCAGTACTTTTTATCAGACTTTGTTCCGATGTTTGTCGGATAAGACTTTATGACCGTTTTTATGTATGAGTTTAAATTTTTTTAACGGTTTTCAGAACAATCAAGTTTTTCACGGTAGCCCCCGAATCAGTTTCGCAAAATAAGAAGTTTATAAGTATTTATTTCAGAAAATTTGCGAAAATCGCGTACTCTGATGTAATGGAAAGTCGGGGTGTTATTGATGGATTTCCTACCTAAAACCCTCGGGGTTGGCAGAACTGTCTAATACCCTCCGGGTTGACATTGGATTTCCCATCTAAAACCCTCGGGGTTAACGGATGACCCTCCTACTTTGGCAACGTTAGAGTTCCCGTGGGGAGATGATACGTGGACAAAATATAGTCTATTCTGATGGGTGTGCACATAAGGCTGATTATTGATTATGTATAGGGGATGGGAAATTTGTTGTCTATGTTCATACTCTTGACCATGCCATATTTACTTTTTGTACTCACTTATTATAACTGTTCGTGTGCATAGCGGTGAGCACTACGTTTTCATTTGTGCTCATCCCCACCTGCTCTTCATGGATGCAGGTTAAGTAGTTGGTGGATGACAAGGCAAGGTGAGTGGGTGGTCTATCGTTTATTTGTTATTATTTGCTTCCGCTTGTGCTTGGTTTACTTGAACATGTTGGTTGAATTGTTGAACATTTGAATTGGTTGTTATGAAAACCGTTGGATTGGTTTATGTTGAAAAACCTTTCTATGATATTCGGAGTATGTGGATACGAAAGTCGTGACATTTATGTTTATTGATTATGTGGTTGAGAATATGGTTAATGAAAACCTATGAAAAATCGCGTAATGAATCCCCATGGGTCCAGATAAGACTTGGACTAAGAAAATGTTTTGACAATGCCCTTGATTTTCGAAAATGAATTTAAAAAATTGTTTATTTGATTTTTAAAAAGTCGGGATTTCTTTAAAATCAAAGTGGGGTGTTACAGTTTGGTATCAGAGCAGTTTGCGTTACTGTAGACTCGTTTATATGTGATTATGTGATTATGTGATTAGACCTTATGTTATGACCACTCGTCTTCGTCACACCGCACTGCTTAAAGGTATGTTTTGTATAAGTAACAATGAAGATACTTGTAATTTGATTTGTATTTTTACATAAGTAGCAATGAAACTGCTTATGATATGATTTATTGATATTTGGGGCTTCGGATCTATCCACCTATGGTTATATGTTGAACTCTAGTGATATAGAGTTAAGATCGGACTCTAGAGGTTCCTTGTTACGTGGTTCAGTATGTTGTTATCGAGATAAGTTATGCCCATGGTAGTTCTGCTTGCTATATAATTATTCTCAATGTCTTCAAGTGAGGACTCAGTCAATTAGAATCGGGAATGTAATTGCCTTTTCTGACCTTTGCCAGGTTTAAAAAATTATGAGAGGAGTCGTTGTTTTGTAGGCTGACAGTATTATGGATGTTTATGGCCTCTATTTAACCTCTGGTATTATATGTCCCTTGTGTTTTAGTAAGAGTGAGTTCATTACTTGGGTAAGAGATGAGAATGTGTGTTTTATTGATGCTCTAGCATGTTTATATGATTTTGTTAAAGCTAGAAAATTCCTCTCGAAAATTGTATTTTGGATGAGATAAGTATATTAGGTCGAGAGTCTCGTTTATGTCATGATAGGTTTGTTCGGGTTCGTGATATATATGTGAATTTCGAGGATTATTGTTGAATTTATGTTATGACATGTTAAATCGTGACCCTCGACTCATTACTATGCGTTGTATATGTGAAGAATGATGTTAAATGTTGTTTTTGGGTATAACATGCAAATTGTTTTCCCTTTCATCTATTGTTTTGACCCTGAAGTACTCGTTATTTGAAAATATAGTTCTCATATGATAAGTATCCTATTGTGTTGTCTTTCTTTAAGCTTTGGAATTATGAAATTCCGATTTAAGACAAATAAGTGATATTTTTTACAAAATTGTCGCGCAAACAGTTTTATTTAAAACCCGGCAGCTTGTGTGTATATTATGTTTGACCTGTTTATCATGTCTTAATGTGCTCAATTGAAATTGTGTTCTTCCTGAAAGTTATAGGTGTGTTTCTTATCTTTCTAATAAGGTAAGATGCATGCTGATATGATTTCTGTAGCATAAATTAGAGTCTAAATGCTGAGATGCTGTTTGTAACATGAATTGGTTTCTGACAGATTTCATGAATCGAATATTTTATGTTTAAACTCAATTATAACATCATTATTTGTCAATATGGTTTTCATAAAAGATTTAGGGCTGCCTCTTAGGTTTCTAATGATGCCGGAAGCATGTCAGTATGTCGAGTATAGAATGAGTTATGTCCATTTTTTTGAAACTGTACACCAACATATTCATATTTCCCGGACTGCAACCAAGTTCTTCATGTTAGTCAATTTTTAACCTGCTGAATGTCATTATTTGATCTTGAATTTTTCTTGAAAGTTGTAGATGCATGCCTTAGGTTTAATTTGAGTCGTGAATCATGATCGTGTGACTTAGGTGCTGAAAATTGTGTCTATTTGAAGTTCGTTGTGCATACTGGATTTCTATAAAATTTTGTTTCGATCTCAAAATAGATATTACCTCCTAGATTATGCATGTTTATGTGACCTTTTTGATATATGTTGGACTTGGTTTAATTGGTGTTATGTGGTTGACTGAAAACACTTACGAGATATGCTTTACGCTAAGATCCCGAATTGTGGAAATTATAGGTAGTGTATGTGGATTAGACTCGTTTAGGACTGTCGGCACAATTAGCTACCTAAAAGATGTCGTGACGGCCAACACTGTTAGTCGGAAGAGTCAAACGAGCTCACCATTTTGTTGTTCGGCATTGACCGCCGAGTTAGGATTGTTCCTGGCAGTGATGCCAACATTCGATCCCTTTTGGGGAAATTGTTGTTGTCAAACCCACACCATTGTAGTTTCGAGTCATGTGGAGAAACTGTTGGGTTCTGTTAGGAACATCAAACAACATGCAAAGCATTGAACTTTATCGAAATAAATCCTAACGCAGCGGAATCTATAGTTAGGATATGGACGTTTACCTTTTAAAATTTTTGCCGACTCTGAGACGATGTAGAGTACCGTTGGTGAAGTTCGTCTGAACACCACAACCTAATGGGCGGATAGGTTTGGCCTTTAGTTGATTCTAATCAACACGTCAAACGGATCACGAGCGGACAGTGTGCGGGTCTCGGTCGTCGGGTGCAGCGGGCGTGCGCGTCGGGCGCAGACAGGGAACGTCTCGGTCGGGCGCGTCGGGTGATGGGCAGACACGCGGACGCACGCTGGGAACGCGGACGGGCACTGGGATGGCTTGCGCATACGGGAAAACACTCCTAGGCCTGGGCGGACTGGGTACTGGCGACTGGGGACATGCGGCTTGCTGGGCACGGCAGCAGGGGCGCGATCGTGTGGTGCGCGCG